AGCTAAAACCTATTATCCATCTAGGGAATGTGTCAAAATACGTGCGGAAAGTCCTGTTGCTAGACGTTAAAAAGTATATTTTCAAGTGAACTTTGAAGTTCTACGTAATAAGCGTATTCTCTTACTATCGTTATATTAGGTATAGGTTTAAAGTGAACCAACTTTAAAAGAGTAAGCTTTGATTCAGCCGTATATTTTGTGCAAACCGAAAGCACAAGAAAGCAATTTGAGCTTAACCAAACAGACTTGGAAAGGGAAAACAATTGGTACTTTTATTAGGGTTTATTCTGCAATACTCCTCAATGCGGAATCACGAGGTGTTGAATTCCAAACTGAGACGGTTAAACAAATCCTTATTTAGATGGTTCGACAATCTGATAGTGTTTATATAGTTAACTTGCACTTCGCGCCATAATTTATCCACCCCCCTTTTCGGGATAACAAGACGGAAGAATAATGTTTATTTTACATCCCAAAATCAACTGGTCTGCGGGGAGTGTGCAATTCACATTGGAACATCGACGTTACATTTTCGGTCGTACACATGCGTGAAGAGATTGGCCATTAAATTTCAATAACGAGATCATTTTGATTAAATCCAAATCACTTGTTCAAGGGCAGGAAACTGTGCATGAGTAGAAACCAAAAGGAATTTGCCAAGCAAGACGCAGACTTTGCCATCTGTCAGCGAATTTCCATTGTTAATTATACGTGGTCATCCATCGTTCCGAAGTTTAAAATTAGCATAGAGAGCAGAATTTACTGATATCAACAAATTTTGTAACAGCTTAACAACTGCGACCCGCCGTCGCATAACACAGAAAACGAGCAAGAAGCATACAACAATTTGCATTTGCCCAGAAAACCAGTACGAAACAACATGGTCGTTGTTTAATGCAGAAAGATGAATTCGCGATTGTTGATAAAAACGAAGAAGCCGAAGCGAAACAAACTATCTTTCTTGGACGACCTCATGTCGATGAATTTCTGCGGTCAGTACTTACATTTCCCGAGCTTTCTACTAGTACAACGGAAACGAAACCTGGTGTACACTTTCTCCCAGAAGACGAAAAAGCATTTGCTATATTGAGACACTAGATGCAGAAATTGTCTGCCTACAGGAAACCTTGCTTAAGTGGCTATCCAGCACACTTTATTCGAAAGTACGGCAGCCTGTTTCGGCCAAAATTAACGGAACAATCTGTTTTGAGAAAACCATGGTAATTTCCTGACCCTTTAAATGGGAGAAAATTTAAAATGCCATCAGGCGACGCTTTGCATGAACCTCTGAAAGGACACCATGCAGCCGAACTTATGGCCAACAGTCCTACTAAAGTTGTTTCAATTACACTGGCAAAAGATGCCTTGCCATTGCACGCCACCTCAAGTTATGTTTGTGAATTCACACGCACTTGTGGATGCAAGTAGGTTCGGCGAACGCAAAAGCAACTAGCAACCAGGGTAGTTAAACACCTGCCCAAATGGTTTTTAAAGCAGGAAAGTGAAACTCCTCGTGCTTCTATCACGAAACACCTAGAAAGCTGTAATTTCGTCCACCCAAAACCATCCTTCAGAGTACTCGTTCGAACATGAACAAATCAGTCAGTGCGTTAATTGGACGCACTACATATGTTGGAGGAAGCCCTACCTATGAAAATTGACCGCGTGACCAACCTCAACTTTCCCTGGTGATCCCCCGTCCTGCGATTTACACCCGCTTGCTGTATTAACTTTCCCTTTTTTCTTCCCTAAATTGAGTTTGTAAGTTACCATTTTCATTAATCAGCATGCGTGCTCTAAACAATGACCTTGCTGTTTGTCGTTTTTTTTCTGCGCAAATTCAAATTACTGTATGCTTCTTATTTGTTATCTGTGCTATGCGGCGACGGGTTGCAGTTGGTAAGCTGTCGCGAAATATGTTGGTATCAATAAATTCTGTTGTCTATACCTGTTTTCAATTCCTACCGGGGAAAAAAGGCTTCAAATTTTTATTTCGAGGTATTATTTTCTGAGGATAATCTTTCCCGAGAAGGAATGCGCGAGAAAACAAGTTACCTACTTCCTAATTATATCGATTAGGGTGAGTGTTTTCATGCGAGAGTTTAGGGTGAGCTTTGAATTGTCAGCACAAATACCTGAAAAAGGTTGTTAGAAACTTATCGAAGACGACATTTTGTGGCGCCATCTAGTAATCGATGTATACCATCTCAACACACGATGGCCAACACCCGTCGCATCCCCAAAGGTATCCAAGGCCAGCTTTCATGAGCTATTTTTCGCGTATGAGTGTGCGCTAAACCTCACAACGGAAGAGGACATGCGGGGTAGTGTAGGCCCTTATGCTCCAACTTCGGCCTGAACATCACCGCGGAAAAGACAATGGCCATACGCCGACTGGCGCCAAATGCTGACTAAACTAAGCATAGTCTCAGTGTCAGTGGAAAGCGAATCAACCAGTAAACAAATTAGTGTACCTTTGAACTAGAATTTCAAGAAACGTCCTGACCTGCGGGGAAATCGAAATCAAGATCTCCAACGCCAGCCAGCAGGGCCGCAGCGCCCTCTCTGGAAGCGTCAGGACATTCTACTCAACACAAAACCCAACCTACAGCGCTGTTACTCTGGCTACGTCATTCTATGGAGTGGAGACGTAAACTACCTACGAAGACGAAGCAAGAAGGCTCGTTTTAGTTTCAAATGTCTCAGATGAATACTGGTGGCAGGAAGGAATCCTTCACACTGACGTCCTGGAGTGGACGGGCGTCCCCGGTTTCCACACCACGCCGAACCAAATAAAACTACGGTGGGACAACCATGCGGCGAGGATGGATGATAAGCGCCTGCCCAAACTGTTATTTTGCAGTGACGTCGGTGCCGATGTTCGCAGACAAGGCTGACTAAGGCGTTGGCACAAGGGCACCTTAAGGATCCATTCAAACAGCTGCAGGTCAATCCTAAGACATAAAAGGACCTCAGTCAAGATCAGCAGGCATGCCACACTGCCGTAGAGACTGAAGCAGCCATCTTCGGAACCAGAACAGTCGCCGTCAACGTGAACAGGGAGACCTGTCGAGGTTCTATGGTCGACAACACGAATGCCTCCGAAGCAGAGGTCAGGGAAGACGAATTGGGCTAGACGGCAGAGAACGTACATGCGACTCGGCAAGCATCCTCCTCGGGAATGTCGTTGAGATTCCGGGGTCCCGGGGCGTGAGTACCTTGGCTCGATTGACCCGCAGTCAACCTGCAAAGGAAGCAGAATCAACTGGCCCCTAGAGCTCGCAACGCCGGGCCCAATGTAATGGCAACACGACAAACCCGCTTCTTCACACTTCCCCATTACCGCCACCACTGGCATCATCACGCAATTGTCACCTCGCAAAACTTTACCATCACTGCCTCCACCATGGGAAACACGAACCGGATTCGGTAAAATAAGGGAATGAGAACCCCCGTCAATACCGGTGGTCATGCGCAAAATTCCAGAAAGAGTAAATACGGTTCCGTCCCAGGCCTAACACTAACCCTAACCTAACACTTGCGAATCCATCGAACTGAGACCGGCAAACCAGTGCCTGGCGTCCCGACATAAACCTCTGCTCACCGGCACAAACTTTACCAGGACATCCGGCCACCGCATGGGCCTATTCGGTCACATACGTTCCATAAAAATCTTAAGTAGGAAAACCGCAGCTCAGACCCCGTCTCCACACCTCGCCGTACCTCCTTGCGCACACATCCCTAGGCCACCTATAAACCTGCTACACAACAGATGCACACATCCCACTCCAGCAAAGCCATGCCCTTCTCCTGCAGCAAGCCTGCAGGCCGCTTTTCTACCGCCGATGCGGCGGACGCAACGTCCCATGTGGTAACACGCACGTCTCACCTAAGTCGGAAGTGATATTCTGTATAGAATGAAGAATGCGTTGGAGCAAGACGACGGTCGGATAAGGATGTCGAAAGTCGTGGTCGACAAGATAAAGATTTCCAATCAAAAGTCAGGGAAGACGGTTTGAGTTCGACAAACTTTACTGCTTGGAAAGCGTGTACACAAAGGCTGTGTGGGCAGTCGCCGCAAGCGCGCTCCAAGCAAGCTGTTGTCTGTGTCCGCCCTCGGGGTGTTGTGTCCGCGTGTGTGTGCGCCCTTCGTTGTCTCAATCTCGTCAGCCAATCAGAGTGGGGGCAGCGTTGATTGGCTTCGAGCACTCGCGCATCCCATCAGCGCATCGACAAGGAGTGTGAGGCGGACAGGACGGCAGCGTGACAAAGGCGGAGGGTGAGGAGACGCGAACCGACACAAGGACACACACCCGGCGTCGCCAGAACGAGCATCCGTGCACCATTCAAGCAAGCGTCAGGGCGTCCCCAGCGGAGGCATGTTTGAGTCGGCCTTGTAATCGACTAGCCGGTTTGGACAACCGAGATTGGCCGAGAATTAGAATGCTACTGATGTGTGCGAGAGGCGGAGTGTTGCGGCCGGCGCCCGCAGTTTGGTTATTACAGGTGCACCCTTCCCCGACCGAAGTGCAGGTGAAAACTCCGAAGAATCGTCAAACTAGCTGAGGTAGTAACGGCAGCGTTGTCGGTAGCAGGAGTTGCTGATGCTGGCAGGCGCCCAACTTCCTCTTTTTCTATTCAAGACCGGCCTGAAGGTTATGGCGGCTAAAGTCGGCCTATTGTTTAAGTTTCCACGGTATAAGCACATCGCGTACCCTCCGTGAGGGAATCTTGGTCGGAATTGCCTCACAGCGCGCTACCCATGGCTGACTTGGGTAGCGACAATCCATAAATGTCAGACCCAGCAACGTGCACAATATCTGATAATCTCTAATGGGACCCCGCAAAGCGGCGTTGCCTTACGACAGCCTTCCAGTCAACACACGACAGAAAAAGGCGAAATAAGATGGAGGATTTAAGTGATACATAAAAATGTAATCAACGATAAACTTGGGGAGTTGAGACGATGGCGGTAATAGAAAGGACGATAAGACGCTTTATTAGTTAACGTGAAACCGTCCGTTGATTTGTAGACTGTTCTTTGAAATTCGGCGGCCATCCGGAATGAAACCCCGAGGTTCCCTGGGCGGCTCAGATATTGCCACGTCCAAGTAGTCACCAATCTGTGAAGAAGATAAGCGGCAAAACGTGCCTAACGAAGTCAAACTTACATCACTAAAATGCCTACTAGTAAATATGTCAGTAGCCAATAAATGAACTAATAAAGTGGCTCACAATTTTCTACCGGTAGTTCGTCGAAATAGGATCTGACCCATCAGCACAAGCATGCTGGAAGTAGGAATTGATTTCAGGATTCCGGTTCAATGAATCAATTTCCGCCAGGTCGCTTTGAGTAACCCCCAAAGACAACTTAGGTTAAAGTGGTCTGCTTTATTCGCTTAGTCCTCCAGACTATCCGGGTGTCCACATCATACAGAGTCATAGCCATAGCAGCTTTTCGATTTCCTCGGAAATTAACCTCTAACTTGGAGTGAATCGGCCTGTTTGAGGTTTATAGACCCAGAATTATATGAACATTTGGGCCGAAGTCCATCTGGCACAGCGGAATAGTCGTGTAATATTCATAAACTGCCAGCAGGCAACCAGTAGTATATACATAGGTTGCATGATATACTATTCCTGACAGCACAGGTGCTAGAACTCAGAAAAACGGTCCCCTACATCTAAGACTTAGGGATAAAGATGCCGCATCAATTTCCGACTGAACAGACTGAAACCTATTGGAGGTGCGGCTGGATTCGAATATATAGATTGCAATTTTAACGTCATGTTTCGTGCTCAGATGCACGGCGCTTCCCGAGTAGAAGAACATGCCCACATAGAAGAAGATGCAACTCCCTGAGGATCTGCACCTCCCTCCTACACATCCGGTGGAGAAAGTCGACACATACACCTCGGGATGCGGGAAACCCTGCGCATAACATCGGAGGAAGCGCGATTGCATCTTCAGGAAAGTCAGCTCCGTCAAAAAGCATTCTATGATCGCCTAGCATATGGGACCCCATACCAAGAGGGAGACATCGTGCGAATGCGAAATTTCGCTGACCTTCCTGAAGATGCAATCGAGCTTCCTCCGATGCTATGCGCAGGGTTTTCCGCATCCTTGAAGCGTATGTGTCGACGTTCTCCACCGGATGTGTAGGAGGGAAGTGGAGATCCTCAGGGAGTTGCATCTCCAGGGCGATTGGCACTGACGTGAGTTCAGTGTATTACACAGACAATGCTGGCTAGGATGCTCAGACTCCACCCCAAGTCTGGTTCCGTTGTGGTATTGAGGGAAGTGAGCTCATTTGCCTTTGCAATTATACCAATCAGTTCCCAGTCTATAGTCACAAGGTAAGCTGTTAGCAAACCACCATACCTGAAATTACACTAATTCCTAAAGGATATTTAAATGTAAATTTCACTAAAAGATTATTTTCAGAGGTTATTCTATTTGTGCTTTCATATTTACTTGGTGTTTTGCATGACAGGCTTTATGTAAACATAAACTTTAAGTTTACTAAATCACGACCATTTTCGACTTTTTCGGGATTTTCCACTTTTCTAAAAAAAAAGTTGGCATTTGTAAACAACGTAACATCACGTTTAATACTTCTTTTATGTTTTTAATCCCCCTAAAGTTGTCACTTATTAACATAAATATTGGGTCCAGGCACTGGTGTCGGTTGCGAGTGATTAACAATCAGTGGCAAATGTCGACACCCTTCATGAGGTTAGGTCACCAACTGTACATTTGAGTGGTATCACACCAACTACGAATCTCAAATGTTCTCATCGTTCTTTGCCGTGTGACGATTTGGTTGCCTTTCTTACGGCGGTTAAAGTCGACGGTGGGAATGGGAAGGTGCAGGGGACACTCACCTGAAACTGTTTGGACTCCAGAGTGACAAAGGCATCTCCCGAGACAGGTGGGCCTAGGCTGTCTCCAACACGGCCTGGAGCACCATTGTAGAGAGCCTGGCCGGTGATCAGCGTGCCTAACACCCGCCGACGATAGGCGCCTCCTCGCTGGGAATCAGGGAAGACCGTGGCAAACTGGAGGCGGGAGCCCTTACGCCGAGCCAGTGGGCAGACGTCGCGTAATTCACGTGCCAGTTCACGCAGACTGGCGTCGAGCCTAAAATGCAATCCGCCTATCAGCCGGAGCAGCAGAAGTCGGAGAAGTGGTCTGTGGGCGTCGACCCACTAATCTCTTGGCTGCCCAAATTGTCACGGCACATGAGAAAATAAATGCAAGGAGATGCTGCGGTGTAATGCAGGGCGCACCTTATAGTCTGAAACCTACAGTAGAGGTGCTATCTCATGAAACTCATAGATGTTTTGGCAGATTTTTAATAATTCTATGAATTGCGTGAGCCCGGCAGTCATCTGGTGGATGCTTGGTGAATTACTTAGGAAATCCTGATAGGGCGGTCAACTAACTGTATCAGATTTGGTGGATTCCAGGCGTTGCAGTAGGTTGGGCGGGTAACTTGACCCAAATGTGATTAAACTCGCGTCGTCCGGCGGGGCCCCGTAGCTCCAGTGGTTAGAGCGTTGGTTGTACTAAAGCCTTCCCCTTACTGCGTGGGTACGAATCTCACCGAGGCGCCAAGTTTTTCACAATTGGGTCAATATGAATCTCATGAAATGTTGGCTGAAAACCTGAAATGTTTTTTTTCAATTTGAAAAGATTACTTATGTTAGGGTTATAAGATACCATACTAGCAGAAAAGGTAATCGTTAAAAGCCCAGACATACGTGATTCGTCGATATTCTGTCGCTGCAAGGCACAGCTGTGAGGGGTCCGGCTCTTCAGTGGGTACCCCAGCATCCCCCGTCTACTTTCTGGTCGATACTCCAATTTACAAATCGTCTCTTTTTTAATTGCCACAGAAATTAACGGCGAACTTTGAGTAGATCAGTATGCTTAAGGTTTATAAGTTCAAACGAACGAAGTCCATCAGCCACAGCGGGCTGATCGCGCAATATTCATTAGCTGCCGATCCAATGAAGCGCCGAACCCCTCGCAGCTGTGTCACGCAGAGGCAGAATATCGGCAAAACACGTCTGTGTGGGCTTTTATCGAGCGCCTGTGCTGCTAGTATGGTATCATGTAACCCCCAAAATATGCTACTAGATGCCTGTCGGCAGTTAATGAATATTACGCGGTTATCCCGCTGTGACTGATGAACTTCAGTCCAAATATTTATACGTCCAATTTCGGTCTGTACCCACAGACCTTAGTATTTACTGGCCTACTCCAAGTTCGCAGTTGATTTCTGAGTAAATTAAACAATCAACCAAAAGTACTCAGGTAGGGCTGCAGTACTAATTATCGTGCAGCATAGTCCCAAGATGTTTCAGTCAGGCTGGGATGTCGACTTTTAAAATGCACTTCTTTTCAGCCGTCTGAAAAAACTACATTTTGTGGAAAATGTAGCATGGATTTTCCCATTGATTGGCAATGCCCTTATACATTCAAGCATATTTCATAAGAGAAAAAACATGAATAAGGGTATTCCACCTCTTATTCAGTTGGCAGCAAATTGCGTAACCATAAAATTTTATACTTAAGAAACCTTTTCAATTCCCCAATAATTTTGAATCTAACCTGCCGTTACACTTGCATTCAGAGTTTCCAAACTACAAGCTACATACTTTCAATGTAATGAAAATCGTACTTTTTAATACACCGGTAAGAAGACGTCATGTGGGGCTCATAAAATTTTTTGTTGATGTGGACCATGTTGTCCACTTTATAAGCACCAGTGATGAACGTGGATGCGACGCTGTACGATCAGACATTTCATGGTCTTTGAGAAACTCCTAATTAGAAACTTTGTCAAAACTGAAAAGTACTCTTTCTTCAGGCATAAAATTTAGAGGAGACGTAATCTGCTCCCGAACGAGTAAAAGAATACTTTTGTGCGTGTTTTCTATAGTCATGCGATCTTATGCCCTAGCGGAATTCTACCGTATCTACTGCTGTTATATTTCTTGTTTTAGTCCCACTGCGTCAATCGCAAGATGAATAAAGCCCTATTATAGGGTATTCTTCGTTCCGATTCCTGGATCCCATGGTGTTGGTGCTCTTTCTCTCGCGTTCTTCCTACGATCCAAACTACAACAACTCATTCATCTTACAACCCCAGAGTGGATCGATTTCTTAGGCCAGAACGATTCAATGTTGACCCGAATGCTCCTGACAGGTCTCGTGTGAATGTCGAAAAAAAGGAAAATAAATCAAATCTTAGGACGTGTAGATGGAAACATCTAGTGTAACCAAAAATGTCGGAGTCGCTGTATCTGGCAGCAGAGGGGCGGGACTGACCACGAACCATGACATGACTGTCTCGGATATTCTCGCTCGTACGTTTTAGCTGGCTTCAGACCCCTCCCGACACCTCCATCACCACAAAGATCCACGTGTACGGAACATCTGTTCATTCAGTCTTCCTCAACAGTTGTGAATGCTAAGCCCTAAACGTGAAAGAGGAATTAAAACGGGGGATGACTGAGCACCACTGCCTGAACACATTCCTTCGAGTGAAGTATAGCAACTTAATCTCGAGCGAAACAGCTCGTATTCACTGCGACAACATCCCACGAATATCTCAGGTCATTCAAACAGACGCTTCAGGCGGTTCGTGCATATGTTTCATTGTCCGTGCCGTGTGTGTAGCTTTTGTCCTTCAGTCGACGTCGCAACCTAGTTCAACGCGGAAAATAGGGGGACAGCTCGGAACCAGACTCGACATAGCTTGTCGAGACACTGTGGTGATTTTTGTTCCTGGGGTACTTTAGCTTGTCGATGAAGAAGGGAGTTGATCAGACTCCCTAGCCCTTTGGGTTTTCATGCAGAAGTGCAATCGGTTGAGCAGTTGAGACAGGCTATATTAGGCGTGATCACCGACAACTAATAAAAATACTGATAGCACAGACGGGCAATAGAAAAAGTTTAGCGACCTACCAGGTGTTCACTTGGATCTCGGGATGTGGGAGTTTCCCATTTGAGAAGAGCGAGAGCGGTGTATGCTGGCCGTTGGTAGAGTAGAAGATGCGAATAAGGATCGGACAAGTTTCTCGACGATTCAGCGTCGATTCCGGTGGCAGTTTCGGTAGGATGGTTGATTCGAGCCTCGGCCTTGAGGCGGGGCCACCACCACTCTGGTGCAGAAACTCTTGCATACTGCGCACCGCGTACCCGCTGCCGTTGAGGCTGTCATCGTGAGGACCGTGGATGCGTTTGGCATCACCGCCACCGCCTCCGACAGCGTCGTCCGCCCGACGTTTCAGAAGGACACGACGCGTCTCATTGGGCGGCTGGACTGCAGCGTTCTCCAGGCCGGGGACAGGTGCTGGCGGATTTGACCCCCCTGGCAGCAAAGCGGAGAGCGGGGATGGGCTGCGATGATGACGACTGCGCCCGTGTCTATGCGGTGAGGCAAGTCTGCGCTCAGTGTTGGTCGGGTTCCACTGAGTGGACTCGACCGCAACAACCGACTTTAGCGATGGGCTGGCCTAAAGGGCAATGGAGGAAATAAGGAAGTCCTCGCAGCTCCGCAAGGATCGCAAAGGTTGAAAACTCTCGGAAATGGACAGATTGAGAGAGATTTAGTGAGGGGGGAGTGGGGGGGGAGAAAGAAAGAACGAGACGGAAGGGCGACCTCGGAAGCCAGAATACCGGAGGCGTATTCAGAGATAACGTCGATTAACTCTCCACACAAAATCTGGAAGAAAGCTATCTGATGCCAGCAGTCGCAATCGTCTTTCCTGTTGAAACCAAGATCAACTCTCTAGTGACCGGCCAAATCCAGTGTGGAAGGAGGTTCGGGTCTCGTCAAAAGTCCTTGCGTTACGGAGTTGGTGGGTCGTCTTCTGAAGTGGCGGGAGATCAATACTTACATGAGCATGCGGCGGCGGTGGAGATAATGTGGCCTCAACGAATACATCAGACGCCTAGGCAATTGGGGTGACTGAAAAAATGCACTGTCCGTCATCCTACTCCGGAGCAATAAACCACGAGAATATCTGATGAACTGCTACTTTTGATAGTACAACCCTCTAATTCCCCGATATTTATAGGGAGTTCCCGGCGGTAAGGAAGATCAGCACTGAGCATTTGGTTGGTGAGTTCTGACTGATGTCTACAAGCTGTCCGCCTTTTTATGACCGCACAGATTTAACAATCAGACCCAGAAGGGCAGATTCCGCCTATTACATAACATTTGCCACCAAGGCCAGGGAAGCTTTTATAGAATTATCAGACTAGTTAGGTCATTTTCGAGATCTTTGTTGTTGTCCTAGTGATGAAGTCAGAGCCTGTCAGCAATTTAAACGGGTGTTTGAGGCGGTAATGGAAAAGTCTGATTGGCACTCGCAAAATCACCAATTTTATTACAAATACTGTAGCTAACAACCAGTTATGGTGGGCTTCCCTGGCATAGTGCTCATTTTACTCTAAGCCCCGAAAGCTGCCCTGCGGCAAATGCTACTCCGAGGAAGAATTATTCCAGGACGACTAAGTCGTACTTAAAGGTCACGGTTCAATGCCAATTGTAGTTCCTAAGAGAGCTGCAGGTAGGCACAAAATTCAACCAGTTTTATGACGTTTTGAGCAAACTCCAGATGAAAGTCTGGCCTCTAGGCCTTAGGACTCAACTGTCTCCCTATTAGTGGCACAATAAGTGGGGGATTGCAATCATAAATCGGGAAGATGGAAACTTCAACTGATCAACGAAGAGGATCACCAACATGAGTGGTACAATGACACTGATTAGTGTCATTTGGAAGGAATTCAAAAGGTAATCGCGGCGAAGAGGCCAGTTCGAAACCTGACTCGACATAGCTCGACGTGGCATTAAGGTGATTCTCGGGCCTGCGATATCTGGTTTTGTCGATGAAGATGAGAGTTGGCCAAGCTCTCTGAGTCTTTTGTTCTTCATGAAAAGGTGCAAATGGCGGCACCGTTGAGGATGGTCAGATCAGAACTGACAACAGCCACACGGAGTACATGTAAGTAGTAAAGTATTACTTCTCCAGGCAGTTGTGGGGGTGCTTCATCCCGCTCATGGTTGTTCGCTAACTTTATGGAACGGCTGCCTACCCTGTTTCCCCTTTTAACCAAGCGGTATGCTGAGGTAGGCCACAGCGGTAAGAGAGATTTGGACCGACAAGCCGGTACAATTAAAAGTGGAATGTAAGTTGGTCCACCAACTACAACACCGTGTGAAAAACGTCCAATGCACCTTAGCATCACGCGGCCAGGTCAGTTTGCTCGTTATTTCCTCATCTGTGATAGAAAACGGCCGACTTCGCAGTATTTCGTAGGCCAACTTTTCCACCTGGGTAACGTTACTGGCTGAAGGCGTACGGTGGAACATTTTCTGTTCAAAATCGATTCGGCATCTTGTCAGCGCCAGAGGTGACCCGAGTCGGCACAGCCCTAACTTACTTAAGCCGTTTATTTGCGCACTCTCTAGATGGCAGCAATCAGGTACTAACGCCATTACCCCGGCAGTTCAGATCGGTTTTCTTGTATCCCCCATAGATCATAGGCACCTCGATATGACGATTGTTGTCTGCGACTACTACAAATTTCGCTGGGTGTCTTACTAGACAAACGTGGCTCCCACTTCGATCATCCTGGTAACTGACAACTTGTTTTCAGACAGACTATTAGTGCGAAAAGCTGGATGTTGCAAGCCAAAAAGAAATCAGGAGAGGCCGAAGTTAAAGTAGAGTGTGATCTCTTGTTTTCGCAAATATAAAATAGAGAAATCGTTTACCACGACCGAAGTCGGCACAGAAATGAAGAGTAAGACTGCGCAATGAGAAAATTAAGCACTTTTCAGGCGCATTACAATTAGAATGAAAAAACTGAAGAGGAGAAAGTTCGGTCCCCATTGGAATAAAAGACAGACACATGGATTCATCCCAAACGGGCGAGAATCATGCATGAATTTCATGAACAATTATGCGGAGTAGAATAATAATATGGAACATGGCGACTGCATTACGAATGTTATTGTAATAGTAGAAAAGTACAATCGATTAATTTATAGGGTAGAAAAAGGAGTCATTGACCATAAGGAACATGCTGCAATAAAATACCAGTCGTGTGGAAGGT